GGAGACGCGGAATTTCGCTTCCGTCCTGAGGGAATTTTTCATTTAGCCCGCATTATTTATACGCACGCTTTGGCGACCTCCCAGAATTCCCCGCGAATGTTTCATGCGGAAATTAACGTGCCGTCTCTGCGTCCTTCTGAAAATGAAACTGCTCCTTGAGAATTCCGTTGAATGTTGCATGAAACTGATTTATGTCCAAAATTAACTGTTATTCACTTTTAGAATTTATTCCGATCTAAGAATATTTCATACGCGAACAGAATCCTTCGATCTATAATCTAAGCCGGATTTAGATCATCTTCATTCTAAGTTAAAAAACATCAGAGATAAAATTCCATTTTGCATATATAACTACTCAGCAAACACCAAATAACATGTAACAGTTATATTGTTGAGTGGGAAATTACAACTAAAAAAAAAAAAATAGTTATATAAATGTTACTTGGTGTTTGCTGGGTATTATGCGAAAAAATGCAATTTTCTTAATAAAGACAGTCATTAATCTTGATTGATTATATTCCAGCTATTTTCTTGTTTCTAATTATTTTCAGTAATTATGATCTTTTGCCCAAGCGCACGTGTCTGTCAAATTTATTCATTCTTATTATTTCCTTCATTTTCATATCTTTGTAATAATTCCAAACGATAAATGCATAATATTTTATCCATTAATTTTTAATTACAATTTTATGTAACATTTATCGAGGCGAAAGAAATTTCACGGGAATTAAATCACCAGCAGTTTCATATACATTCGCGAGAGAAGAGAGCAGCGGAGTAAGTCCGATGACGAGACATAGACGGAATTTTCGATAAATCGCCGGAAGGCAGCTGCATTTACAGGGGGTGAATTTGTATACACGCTCGCTGGGAGTTCTACTGGCGATCCACCTTCGATCGATCGCGAAGGTGGAACCGGTGGTGGTCCCCTTGGGTCCTCTCTTTGCCAGCATCAGCCAAGAGACGCCCGCTTTCTGGGTAGTCAATTTCGCGGCATTGTGCGAGAAATATGGCGGAAATGGAGTTCTTCCGTTGGCGTTGCGTGGCTCCACGAGATACACGCGCACCCTCTTTTCTTCCCGTCAATCTCGTAAGAAAGCGCCAGCTCGTGAATAGCTTTCCGATCCCGCCGTGTCTTCCTGCGCCTGTCATCCTGTCGCGGCGCATTCTCTTTCAGATGCACGCGGCGACGCACCTGCTATTCTAGCAATATCTACTGCTGGACCATCAAGTCCAGTGTCGTAAACCAAGTTGCGAGGGACAGGAATCGCGTCAAGTATAAATAACATGTGCTAGAGATGCTGTGATACATCATAAAAAGAAAAAAAAGGAAATAAAATCAATTACATTTTTCGACAGTGTAATTTTTTATTAAGCAATAGTTATTATTATATTTATAACTAATAATTATTTATCATTAATAATTATATTTTGATATCTAGTAGAATTTTTTTTAGATTCGCAGAAGAGTAGTTTATCTCGGTGAGACTAAATATCCCTGTCTTCCTTTAAATTTAATTCGCAAAAAAATGCTATGAAATATTATAAGAAAAAAAAGAAATAAAATCAATTACATTTTGCGAGAGTGTAATTTCTTATCAACCAGTAATTATTATTATATTTATAACTAATAATTATTTATCATTAATAATTATATTTTGATATCTCGTAGAATTTTTTTTAGATTCGCAGAAGAGTAGTTTATCTCGGTGAGACTAAATATCCCTGTCTTCCTTTAAATTTAATTCGCAAAAAAATGCTATGAAATATTATAAGAAAAAAAAGAAATAAAATCAATTACATTTTGCGAGAGTATAATTTTTTATCAACCAATAATTATTATTATATTTATAACTAATAATTATTTATCATTAATAATTATATTTTGATATCTCTTGTAGAATTTTTTTTAGATTCGCAGAAGAATAGTTTATCTCGATGAGACTAAATATCCCTGTCTTCCTTTAAATTTAATTCCCAAAAAAATGATGTATATTATAAGAAAAAAAAGAAATAAAATCAATTATATTTTTCGAGAGTGTAATTTCTTATCAACCAGTAATTATTATTATATTTATAACTAATAATTATTTATCATTAATAATTATATTTTGATATCTCGTAGAATTTTTTTTAGATTCGCAGATGAATAGTTTATCTCGATGAGACTAAATATCCCTGTCTTCCTTTAAATTTAATTCCCAAAAAATGCTATGATATATTATAAGAAAAAAAAGAAATAAAATCAATTATATTTTTCGAGAGTGTAATTTCTTATCAACCAGTAATTATTATTATATTTATAACTAATAATTATTTATCATTAATAATTATATTTTGATATCTCGTAGAATTTTTTTTAGATTCGCAGAAGATAGTTTATCTCGGTGAGACTAAAATCCTGTCTTCCTTTAAATTTAATTCCAAAAAAATGCTATGAAATATTATAAGAAAAAAAAGAAATAAAATCAATTACATTTTGCGAGAGTGTAATTTCTTCTCCAATGTGTAATTTCTTAACCAATAATTATTATTATATTCATAATTAATAATTATATTTATCATTAATAATATTTTGATATCTCGTCTAATTGTTTTTAGATTCGCAGAAAACTAGTTTATCTCGAGAATAAATATCCTTGTGTTCCTTTAAATTTAATTTCCTAAAAAAAAAAAAAAAACAAAGTCTCTCTAGGAATTAATTCATGCAAAATATCCTTACACTCACTTATTCATCTTGAGAGCAAAAATCTCCTGCTTCCAAATTCTTAAGCTACTTTCCCCTTAAATTTCTGCTTTCGAATTAAAATGCAGAATAATTGTGAGTTGCAATTCTAAACCCAATTAGCGCGGTTATTAAATTAAATTAACACGATTTCGCAATTTTCGCAGACAGTAAGATTAAATCTCGGCGAGGTTCTTAGCATATCCGTTGACGTTGAGACCGACGATTTGCATCCCCCATGCGAATTAACCAGCGAGCGTGTCGTTAAGCGCGCCGCACAGTGTCACCGGTTATTCGTCGTCTTTCGAATACAGTTAACCGGGATACGCAACGAGTCCGCAGGACGACATTGCACGGTCCAGGATCCCCGACTTATACCGGTAGTCGCGTCGTATGTACACCCCAGGAGAAGTTGGCGAGCGGTATCTCCCGACCGGAGACTATTTGAGTTTGCCAAGTAGCAATAATTGTTCCCAGCACTGTCCAGACGTTGGCGACATTCCGCTATCGCTGAAATACTCGACCGTCGGCCCTACGGGAAGGGTTGACCCTCCACCCTAGGACGGTCATCCGGTGTAATCGAATTCTAGCTTTGTCTTTCTGTTCTCGATCGACGCGACTTGAGCTCAAATATTCATGCATGGCAAATTTGCGTTGGGTTAGTTGCCGTCGTAAGAGACCACGACGAAGATTAAAGGTTTCAGATTAACTCCCGCGATTGCGAGGGTGTAAAATATCTCTCTTTCAAGAACTGTAATTTGATAAATATTTTAACTTGTGTGAATATTTGGCAACGCAATATGTAACAAATGAGTTAAATGTTTTATTAATGTAATGAAAATGCATCTCATAATTATATCGCTTCTCTATAAAAGTCAAAATATATATATTTATTAATTAACTGTAAATATTATGCATAAACAGGTATATGTGTTTAGGCAAATTATAATTATGTTATTATATGTTTATATATATTATTAATTAACAACGTAGGCATGTTTATTTATTTTTATCTAAATTGCGGCGAAAATTTTTATCTATTTGGAAAATTGGAACAAGATTTTTCCAAATCTGTTTTCTCTTTTTTCTTCTTTTCTCTTTTTTTTCTAATTAAATGGTAAGTTTAGCCCATTTAATTTCCGTACATTATAATATGCATGGAGAAAGAAAGAAACGAGATAAGGAAGATAAAAGAAAGTAAGAGCGTAAGCATGAATTATAAAGATGAGACAGCGAGAGAAAGACATAGAAAGAGAGCAAGGAGAAAGAAAGGTTCGAGGGACTAAATAATGAGAATTGATAATGCAAAGTTACTTTAAGATGCAATGAATTAATGAAGGTGAATTAAAGTTCAATTTGCAATTAAGATGAGTTAAATAAAGTAGAACATAACTGGCTCTGCAGAGTGCGAAATTGAAAGAAAGCAAGCAAGTTTGCAAGTCTGCAAAGTAAAAACGCATAAATAAGCTCTTTAGGGTCTATACTGTGTTTTCAATTATTATCTTACAAGTTCTCGTGAAAATTCTCGCATCTTTTGTGCGCGAGCACTTATTCGTATTCAAGCGAAAAGGATCGATCGCTTCTCGAAAAAGTAAAAAGTAAGTTAAAAATGTAGGACAAAATTTTTTTCGCACGAGATTTTTCTCTCGAAAAAAATAGATGATTCTTGGCGCGCTTATATATTTATATGTTTGTTAGATATTTATACGTATGTATGATTTTCATTGTGATCGCAAACTAATTTATGCAATTTATTTCGAAAATTAATTAGTTATTTATTATAACAAATAGCGATAATGAGTCACATAATTCTATATATACAATATTCTCAACTAATTCGATCATTTAACTAATTTGTTAATAATATCATTCGGTAATCTAATTGATTGCCATATGATTATCATAATCTGATAACGGTGATAATCTTATAGACGTTTTTTTGCTTTCTAAATAATGATACAATTAAGTACAATGGAATGTATATTATCAATTTTTTTACTCCAATGTATATTGCTTCTTTAATATAACATTGCTTGGAGAAGAGAGAAAAACACTACACTTCCTCATAACATTATGACACTTATCTATAAATATTTAGGAAATAAACAAATATTGAAATTAATAAATAATAATTATGAGTAAATTAAAAATAGATTAAACATTGTCACTTTTAAAATTTAAATAGAATTTCGAAAAAGATGTGGTAAATGTTTTGCAAAATATAATCTCGCTTGTTTTTGTCACGAATTAATTATCCCTCTCTTTTATGTTTCAGGCATTTGAACGAGCAACATTCGAACAGTGACGTGAATTGATTACAAATTAAACTAATTGTCAGAAAAGAAAAGTAATCACGTAATTGGTTGCACAAAACAATCGATGAGAAGCGGAGAATGCATTACAGGAATTATGATTTGCGGATGGCGCGTTCGAAACATATAATGATAATGATTAAAAAATTAATAATTCACATCATCAGTGATTAGTAATTAATTATTTTTAACAAACAAGCACATTAAATAAAAATGCCAGAAGACATTCTGGGTTGATTCAGTGCTACCGCTATCGTTTGACAATCCAGAAAAATCCCCGCAAGAGACGAAAGGCCTAATCAAAGTCATGATTCATACAAATGGTAAGTTTTAATTATTATAAATTACATCAAACATTATAAAGTCGATCAAACTATTGATTGAATCATTAATAAAGCTACAATCGTTTTCCCGGAGGGCAGCCAGATTTTGGTCGCAAAATTAAAAATTTAATTAAATTAATTGAAAGATACTATTCGAAATTGATTTCATTTAAAATTGATGAATAAATAAATAACTGAATAATTTTTATTTTTACTTTTATTTTTAATTTTTAAACTTTTATTTTTAATTTTATTTTTCGAACATTTCTTCGATACCGTTTTTCGGGATCTATTTTTTTCGAAGAGAATTTTCAAAGGCTTCGCCTTTGAATCGTACATCGAGATGGATTCGCGGCGAGGAGGTTAGGTTAGGTCCCATCATTGATAAGGAAGAGAAATTATCGGGGCGAGTGACGGGGCCGAAACAGCTTATCTCCTTTTTCTTCACCACGTGGCTCACGAGGAAAACGTGGCGCCGTTACACAACGTTGAATTTCCTTCTCCTTGCCAGACCGATAAGTACTGATTTCCATAATGGCTCCACGTACGAGTGCACTCACTTATCCCTTACCCTTTCCAGCGCTTCCCTCAGCCGCCTTTTCCATACCCCTCATCTTTGCAACCCCGTTCGTATGTCCTTTCTCTATCCTAGAAACTTCGGTAGTCTCCGTAATCTTATCGCGCAATTCGAATTCAAGACCCGCGATAATCGCAATGGGACGTGATTAATTTTTCGATTTCCATTTCATTATGTACGTCAACATCGCGATGATTTTACGCGATTTAGTGCTGACAAAATGCCAAATTATTTAAAGTCTATCTCTCTACGTTTCTATTCGAGTAATATTAAAAAATTTACATATGATGCGACTCTCGATGTTATAAAAATATTTTTGGTTGCTTGATTTTTTTCTTGAAAAATATATAACGTATTAATATAACATATATATAACATATATATAACATTAATAACATATATATAACATATATATTAATAATATATATATACAGTAAGATCTTATTTTTTATTAATTTAAAGTTTAAATTGGATGAAATTGATTTTTTATTCAAAACTTATCATCAAGATATTTAAAAGTGTCGAAAGTGAGAAAAATTTATTATACACGACTTTTTGTTACAATCAAATTAAATTAAATATTATAATCAAAACATTTAGATGAAATAATTATAAAATTTAATTAAAATTTTCCAGTCCACGATATTTCCTTGTTATTTTTATTATTAAAAAATAATAATAAAAAATTCTAAATGTTAAAGCGTGAATACTTTTATTTAAAATATGAAAGCATCAAGCACAGGTGTCGCAATAATGATAGATTAATCAGTTTCACTTCGAGATGGAGTTGATAAAATACGATCGGTATATGTGATACTTCTATAGAAGATATTCCCTCGCGCTTATCGAAGTCTGTAACTTCTCCCTACTCCATTTGCTCTCTTATCCGTCGCCTTCGCCTCTTGTCGCTATTTCCCTTCGGCTATTTTACTTTATCCTCCATCAAAGAGACGAAGCGTTCTGTCGTGAGATTAGAATTCGCTAGTAATCGAAGGAGCCCGTAAAGGGTGTCGTGTATCCTCAAGATAGCCGTTCCCCGAATCGATATCGATTACTCGCCGCATTGAAATGCATATTCGATTATTCGTTTCTTTTTTCATCGAATATCGTTGTCATTTTCCGATCGCCGTAACCGCGGCGCATATTAATTAAATATTGATATAGTTAATTGAACGGCCACGTTAAATAAATACCGCCACCCGACCGGCATAAAGAGAAAACCGCTGCGTCGTTGAAATTAAAACTAACAAAAACACGAAATTAATTGATGTGATCGAGCAAGCAATCGCGAGTAAGCGAAATAAAGTGCTATTTGTTGCAACTTTGCCGCTTGTAACGATCACGAATTGATACTAATTAACAATTATTATTATAAAATTACAACCGCGCCGTTTTGTCTTTTTATGTCGTTATTCGCGCTTTTATTTACTATTTTCCGAAAGAATGGGATCTCTGTTTCTACAAGAAATCATCGTGAGCAGCATTCGCAGTCACCGTGAAAATAGCTTCGAGCTCGTAAATAAATTATCAGCCAATATTAAATGAACAATATAGCTTCATTTCGTTAGACTTTGTTCTTTATGTTTCATTGGATCTCGTTATTAGAGGTATCAGTGGCATTTTATTAATAAAAGTACGAATAATCTTTATACATATCGAATTTATTGCTGGAATCTGTTTAGCGTTCAATTTTAAATTAAATGTTAAATTTAATAAGATATGCAAACAGATTTTTGGTACCGATGGATTGTCCCCTCTCTCCCATCTTGGCAGATTTCGTGCTTCAAGATCTTGAGCAAGCCATTTCAAAATTACCTATCCCATTTCCTTTTTATTTCCGGTATGTAAAAGATACTTTTAATTGCTCCTCTTCCCTTTTATTTTACTATTTTGAATGTTTTCAATTCGTTCCACCAGAGACTTTAATTTACTATTAAACCTCGATGATAACAATTGTATTAATTTTCTGAATGTTGCATCATGATTAACATTGAATTCATTAATTCATTAACGAACTCATCATGATTAACAATGAATTTCTATTTGCCTCTAAACAATTATATGTAACATTTGTTGGAATGGAAATTTCTGGTTTGTAATTGGAATGGAAATTTCTGGTTTGCGCCGTTATACAAATGAATTGTTTTCTTTTATTTTCTATATAATAATTTCAGATTGTTTTCTTTTACAATTGTTTTCTTTTATTTTCTATATAATAATTTCAGATTGCGAGATTACTTGATTACATTTTTGCGCTCATTTATTTATTTATTATCTTTTATTTTTTATTTTGAGTTATATTGAAGATGGTCTGAATTAAATGGAAACGTTTGTAATAATTTATTTGCTTAAAATAATAATTAAATTTGTCTCAAGAATGGGGCCCTTCTATTGCTATAGGTTTCTTTTTATATCTAATTATATATTATATTTAATTATTAATATATATTATATATTGTATTTAATAATAATTATATTAATCATATTAATAATTATTAATTATATATTATATTTAATAATATATTTAATTTGATCTTTGTAGATCTTTATAATATATTTATATTTTTCATGTTTTGTTTACTGTTGCTTGATTTATTTCAATTTCACATTAACATTTAATAAGAAAAGGATACATGCCATTAATAATACATATCTTTAATATACGAAGAATCTTATTGTATTAAGATGCATATTTAATATATCGCGAGATGGAGAAAACTCCATTTTTGAAGTACATTAATCATAAAGTTTGAAACGATTTTAACGACGTTGTCAGAAAGATTGTCTCCCGCGGCGGCAAATTTTATTATTAATGGCAAATAATTTAAAAAAATGACGAAAGATCCCGCAGATTGTACAGTAATCGATAATGAATGATCAATGGGGCCGCGACCCATGCGATTATTTTCCAGGTAGGTTCACCGGGACGGCGGAAACTCGACGGCGTCGCGATTAATCGCGCAGGCGTAAATGAGAGACGACCGTTGCGGGACGCGGAGGTGATCCATAGATCGTGTCGGGCGTGATCGGTTGCGGTTAGCGAGCGAGGCGAGAGGAGGAGGGTGGCAAGATGGAACTCTTCCCGGTCCTCGTTTGCCTGATCGCCCTGCCGCCCGCCCTCTCGCTCTCCTTCAAGAGCAAGCTCAACCCGCGGATCGTCCAGACGCGCTACGGCGAGGTGCAGGGGATCACGAGGTCCTTCGAGTACAAGTCCCTCAAGCCCATCGACGTCTACCTCGGGATACCGTACGCCACCCCGCCGGTCGGCAGTAACCGTTTCTCCCCGACGAGGGCGCCGAGTCCTTGGGAAGGAGTCAGGTAAAGGGTCACTGTTCTTTCGTTTATCTTAATTTCTTCGTTTAATCACATTATAATATTATAACACATACGTAGAATTAATATTGATTAAAATAAATTAATGTTAATTTTTAATATAATCAAAAGCTTAATCCACATTTCATTGTCATCGATGCAGAATCAGGCTCTATCACGTTTGCTCTTTCATTTTCATCTCGCCCCACTAGATAAATAAATTCCTACGAATGCGTGCATCGCTTGCTCGAAATTTCAAAGTCGCGAATGAATTTGTAACGAGTTATGCGGGAGATTACATTGAGGCTAATCAATTTTGAGATTGATCGCATCTGTGATTTTCTCGCAGTTTAAAGAGCGGGTAGTTTTCAATCTCATAACAAGCACGATCCGTTCAGGATGCTTCAGATGCCGCACAGTCTTCGTAACTCGAAGTGTCCGGGACTATCGTAAGATGTACAACATTCTGAAATTATGCCAAGATATTCCTTGACGAATCTTTCGAATGCCGATGTTATATTGCCACTGAACCCGCCCACGATCGCATAATTTCCGAAAAATCTCGATATTTCCTTTACGAAAGACAGCGCATAATATTAGTGTAATAATAGTAGATTTATTAATTTATTTAATAATTAAATTAATTTAATTGTTAATTATTAAATTAATAAGTAACAACAGATTAGATTTATTAATTGCCGAAAAATCTCGATATTTCCTTTACGAAAGATAGCGCATAATATTAGTGTAATAATAGTAGATTTATTAATTTATTTTATAATTAAATTAATTTAATTGTTAATTATTAAATTAATAAATAACAACAGATTAGATTTATTAATTGCCGAAAAATATCAATATTTCCTTTACGAAAAATAGCGCATAATATTAGTGTAATAATAGTATATTTATTAATTTATTTAATAATTAAATTAATTTAATTGTTAATTATTAAATTAATAAATAACAACAGATTAGATTTACTAATTCAATAATTACTAATTAATTTAATTATCAATTATTAAACTAACAAGTAATAGTAGATTTATAGTAGATTGATTAATAATAATAGAACAGATTTATTAATTTATCATTAATAAACTCAAGAGATAAAATTATATAGTTAAATATTATATAAAATTAATCAGAGAAGGAGATATCGTCTTTTATAGAATAAACGTCTATTATAAGATTAAGATATCTCAGCCTTGAAATGTATTCCCGTCGACAATACCTTATTGAACTCCCTGCGTATTCCAGATGCAAAACTTGAATCGGTTTGACTAGTTGTAACGCACGAACGATTTCTGATTTCCTCCGCAGATTATCGGAGTCGGTGGGTCCGGTCTGCCCGCAAAAGCTACCGGACATTACAAACGAGCAGGAAGCGCTCGAGCGGATGCCTAAGGGAAGACTAGAGTATCTGAAGAGACTGCTGCCTCATCTGCGCAACCAGAGCGAGGACTGCCTTTATTTGAACATCTACGCTCCTGCCATGGGTGAGTACTCTGAGTACGAACAATTTTCCTCGCGACTGAGCAACAATACAATCATGTTCTTTAAAAAAAAAAGAACGGTGACAATTTGACAGATACTCGTCGATAAAAGCAATTTTTAATTCGAAAATGACATTCGCTGGGGAAGACAGATTCGACGTGTACTGAACTCAAAGTGGCAAACATTCTCTTCCTCGCACACCGAGACGAAGTGCGCCAAAAGCAAGTGCAATAAGATCGATCGATCAAGCATCGAAACTTCTTTATATGTCGAGCATACATTCTTCGCGTTCTGGAGTCACTACTGGAGAGACGATATGCTTCTCGACACTATCTCGAGGGAAGAATTTCGTAACGCGATTCTGCAAGAACTGTGTATTCACTCTTGTAACGTATAGAATCCCGAGTCCCTTCAGGCTTTCAGAATGCTCGAATAAAGAATTTCTTCGCAATTTTTAATTTGTTCTTTCAGGATACTCGGGTAACAAGATGTGTAAATTTGCAAAATTTAAGACTTTTATTTTTAGAATTAAACCACGGAACGTTTCGAGAGCAGAATGTGTGATTTTTAATACGAGAAGGCTTTAACATTATAATGAGATTATAAAAAATTATGCTTTTTTCGTTATTCAAGAGGTTTAAATCATTTTGCAGTGGACATAAAAATATTTTTATTTTCCTTTCTCGCTTAAGATGGCCTTCACGTTGTGCAAATGCTGAAAATATATTTTTTTTTATTGCTGAAAACATGAAACAATCATCACAAATATTACTTCAAAAAATAGATTCCTCGTCAACTGAATTATTTTCGCGTGTGGGTATAAAAATAACGAGCTCGACGTATTCGCGTCAACATTTTCGAGGGGGAAAAAAAAGAAAACGAAATTTCAGATGAACATTAGCGGCTAAAGTAATCCTCGCCGGTCGTCCCAGCTCGAATGAATAGCGAAAATCTGTAAGAAGAGAGAAAGAGTAAATGGGAAAGCTGCAGACAGAAAAAACGCCAGACGTTTTGTTCGTAACGTGGTGTCCCGATTAAAAAACGATTTTTAAGATGATTCACTGGCGCCCCAAATTGAATCGCTAATCTAAGTTTGAGGGAACTTTTGCGCCGAATTGTGGAAAGCTCCTGGTGAATTATGACGGCCGGAAATAGATGTCATCGACCCTTGCGCGATACGTATATCTACAGTTCGTCTAAATCGAACTTCGGATTGTGCGAATTATTGAGCTTTCAACTTTCAACCGGATTCACGTTCTGACGAATAGCAATATCTGCAGGTAGATCGAACTAGGATAGGTAATTATCAGATCTCTGCAAGATTACTTTTGCAACGCACACTCTTCGGGACCGCCGTCTGTTTTAAATTGGAGTTCCTGATTAGCATCCCTGATCCGAGGTACTATCGTATTAATATTTGACGCGCGTTTTTAGTCATTTCTTCGTTACATTAGAGACACAGTGTTTGTATCTATCTTTGGCGCATAAAGATATTTTTGAGACGACAGGAGCTGGTCACATTTGCCGTTCAATTTCCGGCTGCGAGATGTCGAGAGGCGCGAAACGGCTTTGCCGACGCGGAGAGAGAAGCAGGATTTTCTATTTCGCCGAGAGAAAATTCAATGATATACGATTATTGAAACACCATTCACTCCGCTCGACATACGCGGAGACATAAAATGGTTCCCTCGAAATGCCGTTGGGAAGAAAAGAGAAAGAGAAAGTTCGGCGGGAGATATAAGGGGGGAAAAAAGAAGCTGGGTGACGGCAATAAAAAGGGTTGAAGATGAAGAGGCGTAACACAGCAAAGAAACATATTGCCTGTACCTGCCACTGCTCTTCGACGTTGCCTCCGCGGCTGGAAACTGAAGAGAGTGACACGGAAAGATTTATCAAATATTTCTCATTTTTTCGACGCGCGCCACCAACACGCGGCCCGAAATTGCTTGCTCAAATCTCCGCGCCATTACGTAATATTTCGCGAAATTATGGTGCAAACTCTTCAAAAATCCCGTCTGATTTTTCTGAGACTGTTACAATTGTTTTAAATGTATTTAAATTAAATACACGTGAATTAATGTATTTAAAATTAACGTATAAATAATATATTTAAATTAAAATAAATATCTGCATTGATTTGATGTAGAAGAGAATAGGTTATAATATTAAGAATATTAAGAATAGATTATGTTTTTAATATTAAAAATATTAAAATAGGTTATATCTTAAAAAGGAAATTTATATTGCAAGTAAAAATTTATCTCAATTTTTTAGTAAATTTTTCTTAAAATAAATGTAATAATTTATCTCAGTTTTTTAGTAAATTTTTCTCAAAATAAAATTTCCAAGAGAATCAGGAAGTGTCTTTAAAAAAATTTACATTATTGGTGAAAACTTGCCTTAGTTTTTCAGTAAATTTATCTCGAAAGAATGTCGCAGAAAGTAAACAAATGTCTCGAAAAAAAAGTTTTACAGATAAAAACACCTCACCTTTTTCAATAAATGTTGTTTAAATTAAAATCTAATATTAAATAAATTTTTTTTTGTGATTTTTCACGGTGATCCCTTTCAATTTCTTCCTTTAAACTTCATCCCTTCATCAAACACTCCTCTCGTCTAAAATTACAAAGCGGATAGAAGTTACATATTATTGCAATTATTTCAATCCTCTATTTATCGGTAATTGCGATAGTCGGATAGATTAAGCTAATGTCTGGCGGGACCAACTTCCTGCTCGATAACAGCTTGCGAAGTAATAATTCCGGATCTCCCCAACTGTGCGTTCCCGCGATCGGTTCCCGGAAAACGCCCGTCCCCGGGCAACCCCCTGAAGCGGATACGTTTCCTTCGGCGCGGTACTGTCTCCCGGATTCTTACGTAATGGAAATTTCTATCGAAAGTTCGCGGATCCGGTTAATGCACGTCGTCGTCGGCGGGCTCGAGCCCCCCCCTGCCCCGCCAGCCGAATTCGGGGGGGAAAGTTTCCGTTTTCCTTGGGAGACTCGCAATTACACGGCCGCCTGCACTCACAATCCCGACGACGATCGGCAAAGCCCAGTATCGAACGTATGGCGGAAGAGGTTGGTGGAGGCGAGGAGAGATGGGCGGGGGCGAAAGAAGGCGACGAGTTTTCGAGGCGCGAACTAATAATCGAATCCACCAAGTTCGCGGAATTTGTTTCAGCTCCCGGAATACTTTGGAATAAGGCTCTCCCCATCTCCTCTCACAAGTATCATCCGCCAAGAAGTGTATATTATGTGTCCTCTCGGTCTTTTTAGGCGAAAGTACGGCTCGCCCAGGATGATTTGTTCGTCTCGAGCGGAAAACGAAGTACCACCCCTTCCTCGAGATTCCTCGAGAATATCCTCGATTTTCATAAATATCGATACTCAGCAAACGCCAAGTAACATTTATATAACAATTATATAACTGTTATATAACAGTATTAATATTGAAAAATTAATTTTTTATCTTAAATAACAATTATACAAGGTGTTCCAAAAGTCCCGGTCGAATATTTTATAAACTATGCATTTTAGAAAGAAATGTTTCAGACAAAAGTTGTATGGCTTGAAGGGGGCCATCAGATAGTGGCAATGATTTGACATGGGAGAGTCATTTAAAAATCACGTGACGATCACCGTCAATTTCTTAAATGGAACCCCCTATTTTTTATTACGTATTCGTGTAGCTTATCTCGAGAGCTTTCCAAAACACAATAATAAAGTATTTCATCATTGAGTACTTTTCGAGTTATGAGGCTTGAAATCATTTCTTAATTTTGCATAAACCATAAAATATCTAGTAAAATATTCATTTTTCGATTATCTTACCTTAATAATTTTATGTACAAAATAATAAGAGGAATCAATTGGTGTAAAGAAAGCACATAATTGTTTAAAAAAAAAAATGTAATTGTTAATTGCAAATTATATATTTTTTTCTTGAAGAAATGATTTCAAGCCTCATAACTCAAAAAGTACTCAATGAAGAAATATTTAATTATAGTGTTTTAGAAAGCTATCGAGATAAGCTACACGAATATGTAATAAAAAATAGGGAGTTCCATTTAAGAAATTGACGATGATCTTCACGTGACTTTCAAATGAATCTCCCATGTCAAATCTTTGCCACTATCTGATGGCCCTTTTCAAGCCATACAACTTTTGTCTGAAACATTTCTTTCTAAAGTGCATAGTTTATGAAATATTCGACCGGTCCGGGACTTTTGGGACACCCTGTTAAAACTGTTATTTGGCGTTTGCCCTAATAACTGTTATTTGGCGTTTGCTTTTTTATCTGAAATAACAATTATAACTGTTATTTGGTGTTTGCTGAGTGTAATGGACCCTTCGAAATACGATCTCGAATAAATCTCGAATAATATAAAGAGGGAGAGATTCTCAGATACATTTCGCACTTTGGAAAAATAACTTTGCGACATCATAATCGCGCGTAACGAAGGGAATTTAATGCGGCAAGCCGAGGGAAATCGCGCGATTCCTGCGCATCCTTCCCCTTTCAATGAAAGAGAACGTCACGAGTGCGGAGCGCGCATTCGCTCAACTTCCGGCCCGAAAAGGCATTACTAATAGCTCTCGTCGCTGTGATTAATGACGCCCAAGTGCTGCTCCGTTTAGTCGTTTTATTAATTACGCCGGATAACGAAGGTCATCGTCTCCGCATGAGACTGTCATTTATTATGCGCACGTCGCGATTGAGACAGGTGATATAAGCGTACGTACATCGGTTTAATAATACAAATATTTTTTTTAAATTAGTAATTACGTAATAAATAATGATCTAATCTTGAAGGAAAAATATCCTGATAAAAAATAAATTTTTCAATATTAATTCTAATATTCAATCTGTCTCTTTCCCACCGCTTGAAAATAATCAAAAATTAATCTAGCGTTTCCGCGGTTTGCTCGGATGTAAATAAAGGGAATTACGACTTCCTTGGGTGAGCCAAATGTCCCGCAAATTAAAAATTAAACGAGGG